CCTTCCCTCAATGTAAGGCATTATCACCTTGGACTGTCGCACACAGATCCGCTTGCTTTTGCTTGCATGAGAGAAGCAACGCTTCAGGGACCATGTGACAGAATTCAGAATGACGTGCGCAAACTTAATCGAGAAGCGTGCGAAGATAATACCATAAGCTGGATCCTCAGCTCGTCTGTGCCCTCGCACCGCATCAGAGGGTGTTGGAACTTCGCAGGGCTAGGTCGGCTAGGTCACTATCAGAAACGCGATGCCGTCGTCTCACATCTTATCACCGTTCACCCGCGCCTGTCCTACAAACAGCCGGGGCCAGCTTGTGACGCGGCAGGCGGGGACCTGCTGGAAGCACTGAAGCAGCGGCCTGGCTGCACTCGATTGTGCCAGCGATATGTTTTCGGGAAACCCCATTCGAACTCTACAGAGTGAGGCTGAGAGAGTACAGCATGAGGCTGAGAGAGCGGTTTGCACGTACCAGCGTAAAAATGCCCCGGGGTCGGAGTTGTCCATGTGAGCTGCATCAAATCGCCCACTCTGTGCCCAACGCTTCTTCCCACCCCGAAGCAGTGAACTACCAGAGTCCTGACTTGTTGCAGAAGACACCTTTAATGCTCTATTGGCCCCTATGCCGCGAACAGTTGCGCTCCAGAAGCTCCAGAGTCAAGGAAGCCAATGGGCTTCGACGAACGACAGGCGCAATTTCTCATCCGTCAGGCGCGGTGGGGGTTCGTTTTGATCCAGTTGGAGTGGAGGCTTGGGCTACTGCAAGAAGGCGCTTTGTTTGACCTAGGGTCAAGGGCACATAGGACACGGGGGTGGGGGTTTCGGGGTCTTGTCTCTTGGCCGGAGAGGGCGCGCTTGCACAGGCCTTCACTGACACGCAGATTATCTGACGAGTTATTTGTGTTAGGCATCCCGACGAAGTCGAAAGGTGGGAAGCACGTCAGCTGGTCTGGTCAAGGAAAACCCGCTTGCTTCCAGGCGGTGCTGGGCCTCTCTCATCTGCATGATCGAGGCGCGTGGGCGAAGAATACTGCGCCCGTTAGGCATTTGAGGTTGTTGGCCCTACACGCGACATGGAAAATTGACAATTTTTTGTTGCGGTAAGGCAAATCACTGCGGGGAAGCTTTTTAGGAAGTCGACCGAAACTGTGTTTCCTCGGGCGAAACAGTCATGCATGGGATTGTTGACAATGTCGCCGCCGTGTCATAGGCCATTTTGAGTACGGGGGGTTAGGGTTCAAGGGCATCGCAAAAGAGGGGTATCGTTAGGGTATCGTACGGGTAGCGTTCGCTTCTGTCGGGGGGAGGTCCTTCACCAACCATGTTGGATGATGTTTTTCGAGCATGTTGAGCTCAAGCGTTCCTTAGTCGACTTCGTCAACTTCCTGAATCCTTTGTGCTCTTTGGGGTTTCACATCTCCCCCCATGAACAGGTCGACTTTCCCGAATCCCTGTAGCAGTTTGTCTTCACTGGAATCCTTGTGAGGAGTAGCCATGCAAGACGTCTCTTTGGAGAACATGCTGCTCAACGTCAACCCAAGCCCGGGCCTGAGTTGGGCTTTTGAGCCCTAGGATCCCCTGAATCCATGAGCATAGAGCGTCTTTTGGTGGCTGAGGTTCCGGCCACTGGCAGGCGCCTTCAGGGAAAGCATCGGGACTGGGACCAGGATTAAAAGCACTCCAAGTGACGTGTGCTTAGTTCGTATACACGTGTTCTCATGTGACGGCCGCAGCAAGCTTTGCAGCCTTGCGAAGCCCCTGAAAAGGGGAACTCCAACCTGTAAATCCGAGCCTGCGGAAGGTGAAAATCTGCGACCCGGGACAGGCCCCTTGCCGGCACAACTCAAAGACTGGAGAGCCATGAATCCTGCCATGCCCAACCCTACACAAGGCGTTTATCCCCCCTCAGCCCTACCAGCAGGCCCTGCTGCCCGTTGCTGTTCGCAGGCCGTACGATTCCAGACGGACTCCAACGGTCAGGAAAAACCGGTAGCCTTCCACGGGCTTGTAGGAGCCTCTTCTGCAAAAAAACATGGAAAAGTGCCTAGGGCCTAGTGGAGCAAATGAGACTCGGGCTGCTGGGCACAAGGAAAGTCGTTCCGGCCACCGGAGCTGCATGAGCACAAGCCCTACCTCGCGACGAAGGTGGACTCCTGGTGTTTGGGAAGCTCGCCTTGAGAAGATGCCTTTAAAAAACGGATGCCTTGTCATACTTGTACGGTTCGTTGGTAGTCCTCAGCATTGTAGCTGCTAGTCTGTGTGTGTGTGTGGGGGTACAACTACCACGCTGTTGTTATTCCTGAGAGGGGGGGGCACCGAGAAGAGCCACGAACCAAGGCTGGAGCACGTTTTATCTACTCACGGCACAGCCGCTCTTCATGAGTGCCGACCCCGCCCTCAAGGACGCCTCCAGAAGGGATTTTGGATTGGGAAGATGGGCACGTCCGAGAGACAGGGCCGAGCGGTGAGCGTGTGGGGTTGGCGAATTCGGAGGTGGAAAATCAGCACCTTACAATGTTTGGGTCGCACGCCTGCGACCAGTGTAGCCCAAGTGCAATCATGAGGGGTGCCTTTTGCCAAACAACGCCAGGACAGTGATTGGCAGCTCTTCAAGTGACTTGGCTCTGGCTTCGGGGCCTTTTTAACGGGAGTGCGAAATTCAACAGGGGGTTGCGATGGGCTGCGGTTCAGAGTCTTGGGCCTCGGGCTCACCAGGCGCAGAGCCCCAGTTCATGCTCCGCTGATGGGGCATTCGGCAGGAGCGGGAAGTTCGATGAGCTCTTTAAGACCAAGTCGCCCAACTTCTCGCCCCTGGGCAGCATATGGCTGGACAGTGCTTGGGGGAACTATAATTGCTACACTTGCTGTCATTTGTCAGGAGCCCAAACCAAACCACCCATAAGTTTTAGATCTGGATGCTTGGCGAAGCAACTACGAGTACAAAACTCGACGACCCTGACGTTACTAAATCATCCACAGCAGAAACCAGTGATTCCTTGCATTTAGCAACCCTGGTGTTTTGCTGAATTCAGAAAAACGACTCCAAAAGAACAAAGAAGTTGGCCACCTGACAACAGAAACTGCGCATTCGAGACCAGCACAGATCAGAAATCGCGTCAATTTCTGTGGAGGGGGGGAATTGTGTCTGGAAAGGTTCCCGTTTCCCGCTTTCCAGCTCTGGTTTCCGTCAACCGGCATTGCCCACCAGGCCAACTGGCATTGACTTCATCTTCAAACTGCTGCAGTTTGAGCCTTCCAAGCGGATGTCCATCGCAGATGCCTGCAGCTTGGCGCGGCCTCTCACCCTTTTGAGTGTTTTTTGGGGGGGGGTCCAAAAGGCCTTGCAGCGCCGGAATGCGATTCCGATAGGCTCCGATAGAAGATAGACCTGGTTCGACCCCCTCCGTGCTCAGGCAGACACGAGCCTTGGCAGCAAAGGATTCCTGCAGGGGCTTGGAATTCTGAGCATTGGCAGCAGCTGAAGCTGCAGAAGCACGTGAGCCTGAACCATCATTGCGGCTTGTAGCTTCTGAGCAGAATGGACGTCGCCGCGAATCCAAGGCTTGGTTGAACGATGCCAGTGTCCAGCCAGTTTCTGCACCGAAGGACTTGCCACGGATCAACGCATGGAGGTGGTGTTGCAGAACGTAGGTCCAAAGGCCCATGGTTCTCCTTAATCTCCTTAAACTGTGATCCGTACAAGCCTTAGAGCCTGGAGTGCCCCCCAACTCCACCTAATCCACCACAATTCGACTACACTGAGATCCCCAGCAACTTCGTGGCTGCAGGACCTGATCCCCGATACCTTGCTTCGAACGATCGAGGTGAGCGCAAGCGGGATGTAAAGCTCAGGGAGGGTGGTGACCAGGATTTCGGGCCCTTCCAGTTCTGTCGTGTATGAAAAGGGGAGATGGATGGTTGGGACACCCACTGTCAGCCTTTTGGAGTTTTCGGGCTTCCTTTGGAAGATTTTTCAACAGGCTTCTCGCCGTTCGGAGCCTTGAGCCAGTCAAAGGCTTAAGCGATGAAATCCAACTGTCGTCCGCCCCTCCCTGAGCCGTCCCTCGCAGTGCACAATCCTTTAGTTGCACCAAAAGGGAAACCTGGGTTGAGCCGAGCTAGCCCGCTTCGAGGCCCAGGCGCAAGCACCAGTGAAGCCTGCCCCGCCTCCCGTGGAGCGGAATGACTTCATGGGAGGCCTTGCGGGAACTCCCATGGCAAAGAGGATTTGGGACAGGTTTCGCTCTCTTAGCCCAAACTAGAGCGATGGCCACCTAATATGATTGCATATGATTGCAGTGTGTCTCAGGGAGGGATGTTGAAGCAGCAGTGAGCAGGCACGAAAAGACTTGGAATGGGACACCTCGACTCCCTTGCTAGGTGCCGCAGTTAAAGTACTGGGACTCCAAGCCCGACGATTTTGCTGTTTGGTCTTTGCGGTTTTCGGGGGAAGATGGGTTCGGCGCATCGGGTCTCGTGGCCCGAAATTTGTCGCCCTCGGCACCTTCCGACCTTCATACTCCATGAGTCCCTTGCTCCCTTGGCACCCAAACCTTCCTAAATGCCTTCGGCAGGTTCCCTTTCCGCCAGCACCGGCATCCCCTCCATGACGGCCTCCCTGGGAGCTCCCACGGTCGCCTCGCCCATGAGGCAACAGGGGTTGGGGGCAGTGCGGCTTGAGGGCGTGAACATGTGTGAATCTGCAGATATCAGCAGGCCGATGACCCACACGCTGCCGACTTGGTCAGCTGCGCCTATCCAAGGTGCCGGGGGGATCGTGCCATTTCATGGGTGGATCGTGAACAAGGCTGTGCTCAAAGCTCTTCCCGTGCATGACGTATAGCAATTGGTACTTAGAATTCCTGCGAGGGCGGCAGCTACAGTACATTACAGTACCCTTTCTTGCAACCGAGAAATGGCGCAGTCGTCCTTCAGGCAAAGGAGGGTTCCAGGTGCGCTTTGATGCGTGGGGAGCACACCGGTGCTTGCTCATTTTTTTCATGCAAACGTCGTCTCCAGCACATGTGAACATCGGTGCAGGGCATCTGCCTGAATAAAGTCCTTTCTTGACTCGCCCAGTTTTGACTGGTATCCTTGGAGATGCCCTCTGCGCAGCGAGTAGGTGTTTCTTTCCTGGTGTTTTCGTGCTGTACCAAAGTTGACAGAAAAAGACGCTGTGTTTAATCGCGGCCTCAGGTGTGGTGTCGACAACCACGAGGATGGCCGCCCCACGCACGCCCTTGATGCGTCTGACCTGCACGAGGGCAGTTGAAGTAAACCACATGCTCGCCGCCTACCCCCAATGCCCCAAAAGCCTCGGTGCTTGGCTCAGCTCCTCCTCTTCCGGGTGAATATCGAAAGGGTTTCTTTTCAGTTGACCCGAGCTCGTTGGCGGCCCAAAAGGACGCTTGTCAATGTTGCCAGAAGAATCCCTCAAAGCTCAAAGGTCTAAAGATTCAGGGTTTGAAGTTACCAAGACCTCCCTGTCCCGCACAACCCAAGCTCAACGCGCCCTCGTGCCAAGCACTTTTTACAAAGGAGAGTGCGGAGTCCGTCCAGCAGATCCCCACGAGCTTCGGCGGTCCATAGGGAGTGGTGACTGGTGGTTTCAGGTCGAGGCATGCAGCAGCAATGAATGTACATGCTCTCGTCTATTTGAACGTTCGGCCAAGGGTGCTACAGTAGCACCGGTTTTTTTGTACTCCCAAGGAGGCCTACTGCAAGCATCTCCCCCGTGAGTCCACTTCCTGCAGTTGCACAGTGCGAAAGACAACAACAACAGTCACCCCAGTATTCCACGGCCGTGTCGCCTCAACGGCTACAGGGGAGTTAAGGTGTGTGCGACTTGGAAAAGCAAACCGTTGCACGTTGTAGCCTGAAGAACCCCTCCCCCCCTCTCCCCTCTACCCTCGTCAAAGCAAGTTCCGCCGAATCCTGAGGCCAAAGCTTCCCAGCAGAGGTTCCGATGGTAAGAAGCTCAGGGGGTTGTTTGCATGTGCTGTCCAGGGCTGCAGACCGACTGCTTTCGGGCAACGGGTAGGATTCGCGAGAACCTAGTCAAGACCCAGTCAGTGCCAGCCAATGTTAATTGTGAGTGCTGGTCTAAAGTTTCGATTCTTCCTGAAGGGGGGAGGACGCAGGGCATCGAAGGGCCCTTCTGCAACAGCCGGGAAGCCCTTGAGGCCCTACCTGCACCCCCTCTTTCGAGGTTCAAAGCGCGGACCGGAGGAGCCGAGCCTTCCAGCCCCAGCGGAGGTCACAGAGGACTGGTAGCGGCTTCCGGGATATCTTCACGGCTCGAGCTTTGAGGAAGGAGAATATAGGCTTTGGCGTTTCGAGTTTCGGGAGCAGAAGCGGTGAGGCTATGGGTCCAGGGCAGATCATGGGGTCCTAGCTGAAACGGATTCAGACATGGTGTTTCGATTTGGAGACCTTTTGCACAAAAAGGAGCTGCGAATCGTTCTTCAAATTTTAACGGGCTTGCCATCGTACGTAAGTCTTCCGTAAGCACTGGGAGTGAGCCCTGGGTTTCAGGCACGGGCTTTTCGGCCCTTTAGTATCGAGTGGTCTGATGATGCTCACGTTCCTCTCTTGAAAGTCATCTGTTACAGGAGCTCTGGGCCTACTAATGTATTTCAGGTCTGCATTTCGGAGGTTTCTTTGAAGCTGCCGGAGATGTTGAAAGAGCTTTCAGGCACGTCCTCGGCCATACACAGCTTACAGCTCAAAGTCGCGTTGGTCACAGATCTCTGGGGCCTGAAATTTTCAAGTTTTCCGCCCGAAGCCTCCAAAGCAACCCTGCGGCCCCTGTCCAGGACAGCTTACTCCGGAGCTTATGCCACATGCCCATGATGTCCTGTATATGACAAGGTTTTGGAGTGGATGTCAGGATGTGAACCCTCGCACTTCTTTGTAGTTCTTAGCATGTGAGGTAGCGGGGCGAAAGCATTGCTGTTTTAAATAAGCAGCGAAGCAAGAACATATTCGACCTCGCTCCCGCAGCAACACCAGCAATTTTGGCCCTTGCCAGAAGGCTTCTTCCGCGATTCGGGGTTCTGGTTAAAGCTGATTGATTGAGGTTGAGGGGTGTTCAATCATGGGAAGGCCGAGCATTAAATATCATCTCAATGCCAGAGCGTCAAGAAGCACGTAATCATTCATACCCCCCCCCATAGGCTCTCATGCACCTACATTCCACAAAGAGCCACTCAATTCTCAAGCCGAAGCCGCGTTCCCTGAACACCCAACCCAGAGCCCCATAGGCCCAAAAACGCCCTTGAGCTCACCTGGACCGAGGTGGTCGCCACAGCCCACTCCCCAGCACCCATGGCACTGCGGGGCACTTCCGGGCGGGCCCCTGCGACGCTTGCGCCCTCGCTGGGGGACGCTTGGAGAGGCGTAGCGTGTAGCGGCTTTGGACGTTGTAGCGGTGTGCCGGATGTCGGTTGTTGGAGTGGATTGCGCCTTTTCCTTGGTGGGTGTGGGGCCTTCTCTTGGAAGGAGCTGTTTCGCGCAGAAGAACCCCTTCTAAGCTCCCCTTGACTTTCCGGGTCCAGTCTGCGGCCAAGGAGAACCACGGCATGCCTGCGGGGCACAACTACTACAGCCGCTAGGTACTGATGCAGCTGCAGGCGGTTTCGACACTTTAACTTCTCGGGGCTTCCCAATGAGGTTGCAAAGCATGAGGCGTTTCTTGTTGCAGCTAGCTTAGCTGTTGCTGCTATGAACTCCCACGGGCGATGTTGAGAGCCTGACAGAACAAACGAAGGCAGATGGCCACCATGACACAGTTGGGTTGTCTGAGGAACCGCAGATTTCTCGGAGGCTTCATTCTGTGGTCTACGTCTTTTCAAGGTTCGGAGTGTCGAGCAACTCCCATACATGCACGCCGTTCCAGCGCCCAACTCCCCCCCCCGGCCTCCCCCCGAACAACAAGGCTTGAAGTGCCGTAAGTAACAAGCAAAGAATCAAAGGCCCCCAAGCGGCGCCCTTTTGTTCAGACCCCGCTCTGTCCGTACCCTGCTGAGGTCAGGATGGCGGGCGTATGAACTTCATCTCGACTCCTAGGCCAGCTTGGGAGTTTTGCGAGGTCCCAGGTTGCCCCAAGCCTCCTCTATTCTTAATCTGGGGAGAAAGGGAAGACCAGAGGCGGGGTGTCCCGAAGGGCAAAGAGCAGAGGCAGAGGCTGTGAAGCCAAGAAGACGATTCCTTGAAGGTTTGAAAGACCTGGAGGTTAATGAGTCCCTACAGACTTCAAGCCCTCCCCCTACCCCGAGAATCCTACCGGCAGGTCAAATTCTAGACCACGGCCTACAGCTGCAATGGCGCCAACGCCGCTGCCGCTGGCGGCTGGGGGTGAAGGGAGATTTCTTTCGATGATTATGACGAGGGGTTAGGGATTGTTGTTTAGATTTCCAGTTTTTGTTTGTTGTTGTCTGCTATCTGACGCCGGGGATGTATGAATCTACACGTTGTTCTGCCTTGTTTGGACGGCTCAGCTGTCTTTGCCAGTAGGCGGCCATGGATCTGGTTGGCTTAGTAGGATGCACATGTTGTACTCGTACTCGAGCCCGAGGTTCTTTAGCTTTGCTTTGCTAGGCGCAGCTACAGCCCTAAACCCGAAACTCTAGAGAATCCTATCCTGCTTCAGCGAGTGCGAGAGACGAAGCCCCAAAACCCCACAGGGTTTGGGCTTCTTTCTGATGCTTTGGAGTGTGGGAATCCTGCCAGCTCTTAGATGACAGACCTTCGATCCAAATCCTTGCCTGCCTTTCCCAAACCCTAAACCCTAAACACCCGCAAACCCCATGAACAATTCACCTCCAGCCCGCAGCTGCAAATTATGGAAGCCAAGCGGCCCATCTTCAGTCCGCACAGCGTACTTTCAAGCCTCCGCTTTGCAGAGCCGGAGGCTGAGGTGGCGAGCGAACAGCGGGGCAGGCCCTTGTGGGCCTTCGGAGGGCCACCGAAGGCGGGGCTTGTGTCGTTTTTTTTTTTTTTGTTTGGTTTGGGGGGTGTGGGGGTGGGGGGGGGGTGGGTGGGGCGTTGGGGGCGTTGGGGGCGTTGGGGGCGTTGGGGGCGTTGGGGGCGTTGGGGGCGTTGGGGGCGTTGGGGGCGTTTGGGGGCATTGTGGGCGTTGGGGGTGTCTGTCGCAGTGTCTGTATTGAAGTCGATTGCCCTTTGAGTTAGCAGGGTAAGGTCTGTGCACTTTGACCGCCCAAATCCACCGAACCTTACCACCTCACAGGCGCCTTAAGCCTGAAATATTTTCGGACTTGATCACTCCAAACCACCAAAAGCCGAACATGTCTGTTTCAGAGGGCCAAAAGTGTCTTGTAGCAGAAGCCGAAGGAGGGTGCGCCGCCGAGAATGGGCAGCGGAACCTCTGACTACCAGGCAAGTGCACCAGCCGGGTATCAGGACTTCTTCTGTTCTGAAAGGAGCCCTGCAGAATTTCGGGCTCAGGGCGACAGGTTCCTGCGTTAGAAACGTCTGGAGAAAGGCTGACGTTTGGCAGCATCCCTTTGTGCGCCCAGGGCCATGCCCGGGCTGCGTCGCCCGTGCCCGTGGCATGCATGGGGATGCCAAGGGCAGCTCGGCCCATGATAAGTCGTGGAAGGTCAAAAACTGGGATGCAAGCTCCGCAAACAGCTCCCAACCCCAACATGGAGTATCAGGGAGCCCGAAGAAGAATCTTGCAGACAAGCATGACTGCGGATCTTGATGCTCCCCAAGGCCCCATGTTTTAAAGGGGGGTTCTGGAAAGCCTCGTGCCCCACTTCCCTAGTCAAAACCCTTCCACCCCGAAGCAAGAAGGGATCTACACTGCTCGCGCCCTTCAGATCCTCAGAGCCTCCAATTCCTCCAGGTGGCTTCGCCAGCTCCGGGTATCGCCTTCGTAGCTGCAGACGGCCGCAGAGCCTTGAGCCCGGCACGCCACGCCGTTCGGCAAAACCCTCTCAACTCTCAACCCCTGGGACCCCCTGACCTAATTTTACGGAGGCTTGGAGCGTGGCTGGACCTGTTCGTATCTTTACGAGGGCAGATTACACTAGACTTCTACAGCGACCAAGACCAGCCCAGGTAATCGTGTCGAGATCACCTTCCCCGGTGTCTCCCTTGGCAGAACTTGGTTGTGTTGGAGGCTTTGGGTTTGGATTCTACCTCACCGGAGCAAAAAGGGTGGGAACATGCGGGAACAGTTGAAGCCTCTGTCTTCTACGGTTCTACGGTACCCTGAATTCTGCCCCGTGCTGACACCCCGACGACTCAGGTGGACCTGACCCGAGCTGCCAGCCCGGCGATAAGAGGGACCTCAGCAGGCGCAGAATTGCTTCATGGGCTTGGGATTCCGAGCTGACAAGAGATGGCAAGAGAAGAGATGGCAAGATGGTAGAGTCACACCGTGGCCTGTCTCCAGCAGCGCAGGGGGACAAGAAGCTGTAGCCAATGGGAAGTGCCTTGTGTTGCCAGGATTCAGCTGGACGCCGGTGTCGATCTCACCGCGCATGCCTGCCTTCGCAACTCAATTGCAGTTGGATCTTGGTGGTTTAAATTTAGTTTAAAGTGCTCCACCCGGCCGTACTGGTGGAAACACGGAAGCAGCTTGCCAATACTAGCACAGGGCCCGGCTCTGCCGGTCTTCTTCACTTTGCAAGTGTGTTGTATCCTCAAGAGCAGCTGTCAATTCACGGGGGCACCTCGCAAAGCGGGGAACGTGCCAAAAGCCCAGGCCCAAACAACATCCAACCCAACTATGTCCAAAAACCCCTGACATTAAAGAAGGCTGCAGCGTCTGTGCGGACTGCCTCGCCGACGCGGGTCGTCCAGTCGCCTCCTGTGGCGGGCGGCTTTGCAACCTGGCCATTTGAAGCCACTTTGTACGGGAGGGGGGAGTTTCCCCGGTTTAAAAGGATGTTGCAACCAGACTTGGCCTCAGGTTACGATTATGGAAGTTGGGTTTTTCGGCGAATTCCTGTTGGGCTTGATCGTCTTCGGCGCCTTTCGCATGCGCCCCCCCCGCCACCCCATGTCATGTACAATGCGTCATCACGAACCCCTAGGCAATGCGGGCTCCAATAGTTGGGCCCAAAAGGACAGAGGGCTCGCTGCGCAGCGCAGGCAGCGCATTACCGCAAAGCAACACAGCTGACCCAAACCTATCCATGTGAATGATGTCCGCATTCTGCTGCGAATACGGACCTGTTCCTAATCAGCACCAGAAGAACAAAACTTTCAACAACTGGTTTTTGCATCCCAACACTCGATGCCCCAAAGCCCCCTACACTGTCCTACGCGCCTCCCTACACTAAGTCAGCCAAAGGGACTTTATCTTTTCTTGACAGCTTGCTGGCTGCACGTATCCTAGCCTCTGCAATTCACCTCCTACAGTCCTATGCCTGCTTTCTGGGATACTTGGTTGGGGCTGTTGTATTTGGACTGGCAGAGAGGCGCCGCACTCAAGAAGTGCTTGAAGCCTCAAGGCTTGGATGCCGGATCTTGGCTCCCCGCGAGCCTCGCCCCGCGCGTTCTCCCCGGGGCCCCCGCTTCCTGGCTGTTCAAGGAAGGAGGTTGAAGGCTTTGGGCGGCTTTGTGGGGTTAACGGACTCTCAGAGCGTGGGGTTCGATTAGCGTGAGAGAGGTCAAATCCCGGAGTCAAGTCTACCCTTTATGGGGACGCGGATCTTTTCTCCGAATCCCGCTACACGAGGCGTGTCTCTCTCCTTCTCTCTCTCTCTCTCTTTCTCTCTGTGTCTGTATGTCTGTATGTCTGTATGTCTGTATGTCTGTATGTCTGTATGTCTGTATGTCTGTATGTCTGTATGTCTGTATGTCTGTATGTCTGTATGTCTGTATGTCTGTATGTCTGCGTGCTGCGTGTCTGTGTGTCTACGTTTCTGCGTATGTGTGTGTCTGCTTGTCAGCGTGTCTGTGTGTCTGCGTGGCTGTGTGTTTGTGTGGCCGTGTGCCTGCGTGTCTGTGCGTCTCTGTGTCTGTGTGCGCGCATGTGTGGGCGTGTGCGCGTGTCTGGGCGTGTCCGTGTGTGGGCATGTGCGTGGGGGGGCGCATGGGGGCGTGTGCGTGTGGGGGCGTCTGTGCGTGTGCGTGTGCGCGTGGGTGCGCATGGGTCTGTCTGCGGCTGCGGCTGTGTCTGTGTGTTGGTTGAGGGTGTCGGATGTGGGAGCTTGGGATGCGCTTTCGCTTTCACTTCTGCCATCTTGGTGCACCTCAGAATGTGTATTTCATGACAAGCTGTCGTTCGGCCGGACTTCCATAGTAGTAATAGTAAATGCTGGTCTGGGAAGTGTTGATGCATCGTGCTGGATTAGTCTGGCCCACGTGTCCGGGTCTTGTTTCGAGTTTGGGTGCCAGTGGCGCGTCCCCTAGGCAGTCGATCAGCTTTGCCCGGGCGCCGAGCATGGTGGCAGCAGCCTGGCAGAGATGTACAGACTGCCGTGGCGAAGCCGAAGCAAAGCCCACTTCAGCCAAGTGGCATCCATACATTCTGCATCAAGTGCAGTCCAGACTTGGTAGCCTTGGCTTTGCGTCATTGCCTGCAGTTTCAAGGCATCCGGGTATTCCACAAGCGTGCGGACGTGAGCAGCTTGAATGGCAATTGCTACAACGGTTCGTTGTAGGGTTTGCAAGTTTCAGGTTGGGCCTTCCCAAAAGGTACTCCTGGCTGCTGCGCAAGCTGCTTCATTCAGTCTGAATGCTGTGCGTCGTCATCAATTGCCTTGTAATTTCCAACAGCCCCAGAAGCCTCCTTAGCATCCCCAAGCCGTGCCTAAGGTTTTGCGTTTCGGCGTAGTCGCGCAGATGGCAGGGCGTTCCAGAATCCCTGCCAGGTTCCACAAGCGGTCGGCAATCGCATGGGCTAACGTTTAATGAAAGTTTAATGCTTTCAGGCTGGCCAGGTGCCGGATGTACAAGGTTTGCGGGTTGCATCTAGACACGGATGCAAGACAATAGGCGCTTTCTGATTGAATTCCAGGCAACACTTCGAGCTTTCACTGGCAAGTAGTAAGTTTCTGCCGGTGGTGGTTATATTTGTAATTCTGAGGACGGGATGGTTTTTGTGAACATTGACCTGTGGGAGCACACTCAGCGGCCCAGTATGTTGGTAAATCAAATCGGCTTCCACCTGGTGTGAGGGTTACTGCTTGCAAGCATGTTGGTATTGAGGGGTACTGAGATTCACTGACGGAAGCAAACGACCATTGCATGGTAGAGTACTGTGAACCTTTCCGATGACTGTATGTATGCTCAGGTAAAGGCATGTTACGCATGCATAGTGCATGCATCATGCATCATGCATGCATGTACGCGTGTCGAGGATGTAGGCTTTGGGTGCAGGGATGCTTAAAGATTTCACCATGTTTGAAGGACTGTCACGGAATGGCTAGGGCAGGAGAGTAGGAGTTCAGCAGACGATTCGAGTGCCGCTTTCGCAGAACCTCGGGCAGCGATCTCCTGCTTGTACCTGCACGCGCCATGGGGATGGCCTCGTGATTGGCCATGCCTGCCATGCAGCTGTTCGGTGACTGCTAAGTTTTGCACAGTACGTCCACAACCTGCTCAAAGATTACGGATACCTAGACTTCTCACACACTGAACTCGAAGCCGCATGACGCGCACATAGAACGGGCCGCGCCATGTCAATTGGCAACAAAACGAGGGGGCTGGGTCTTTTCTTTGGGAGCCGGGAGCGCACGCGCTGAACCGCAGCGCATCGTAGGGGAGTGCCCTATGGGAATGTAGTGTAACATTTCTTGAAGCTTTTCTGAAAGCACCACGGCGGTGTTCTGGATAGAGTCTCGCCTATGGTTCCCATCGGTGGAGTTTGCACCCCTCGGCGCTGTTATGTGGAGAGGCACGGAGAGACATTTGGCTCTGAGCCCTGAAATGAGCCTTATAAGCTCGAGGCTTCGATCGCTTGAATGTGATGTTGAGCCGTTTCGAGATGAGATGCCCGCATTACACACGAAGTTGCAGAGCCAAGTGCAAATGGGCCCCTTGGCACAAGATGTGCACAGGTTGGGCGGGAGGATGAGTGCGGAGGTCTTGTTGCATGGTTCCATTCACAGTGGTTCAGGATGCAGGACTCAGGATCTCCTGTGTACTAGGGTTCATAGGGTTCGTGTTTAAGGTTCAGAGGACTGGGGCGAGACACCTGAGCAACAAGACAGAATTAATTCACGGCCACAAGGCATGCAAATGAGAAACGCTGCTTGCCGATTCTGACAGGCTCTTCTGACGGGATCCCAAGTTTTTGTCTTTGTCATTTTGCCGCACTCCTCAAATGTTTGGGTTGCGGATGGTTGCGGTGGTCGCATGGCACATGGCATCTCATGAGCTTGCCGAGTGGATTAGCTATGGACAGGCCTGCGAAGGCCTTTCACTTCCAGTACGCGCGCTCTCAATGCACCAAAAAAAGCAAGAATGCCGTGCCTTCTGTAGGGTGCAGGTCTTGATGGGCACCTTCGCAATAGATTTTGTGGCTTGCGTTGTCATAGATAATGTGTAGTGTAGACCTATTTCTGGGTGCAGGCGGAGTCTGCACATCACCGGCGTTTAGGCCATTTAGGCCCAAGTGTGCATGTCGAATCCTTGTACGCCTCTTCCGTCGCTTCTCGTTCCCTTCATCAGGAAGTATATTTTTCACCAACCAGGTTGGAAGCGAAGTTACTTTTGGAGATCAGCACAGCCCCCATCTGCCCCTTGATTCGGTGCATCAACCTAGACTTTGCCGGACCACTCAATAGCCCAGCATCCAACGCCTCCTGCACTTGCTTGGAAGATTTGTGTCGCAGCTGCACACATGCATGGGATACAGCAGGAAATAGGGAGTAAGCGCATAAGGCAACAGAGTTGTCGTGAAGCTGCCACGAGGCAAGAGATGCTCATAGAATTTGGTGGACATTTTGGCTTGACCTGTAGTTGGCAGAACGCGACATTCGAAGACAGAAAAGGCATGCATATACTCACGTGTCGAACATGCGAGTTGACTAGGGGTCATGCTTGCGCAATGGTCTCCCAGTTTGCTGGTTCTCTGTCACATCATAGAGACAAAAGCTGCCATTGACTTGGACACGTTGCAAGAGTTCGAGAAGCCAGACCTTCCCGCGTTTCTGGACTACGACTGCGACCTGGTCGGTACGAGGCCCGGTGCTGTGGCCGACTGGAACTGGGTGTACAAGCGAGTCCAGTCCAGCTTCAAAGGGACCAACCCCTTGAAGTCCAACTTCTCTTTCCCAGCCGAGTTTACACACCTGGTGGTGGACGGGCATTCGTCCAGGTCCGAGAACCTCCCCGCAAAGGCGCTTGCGGAATGCCCCCTCGGCTCGATGTATTTGCTGCTCCTGTATTTCTATGAGGGGCTCACTGTCAAGAATGTGTACAATTTGCGGGTGGAGAAGGACATCCCACATTCCTGTGCCACCAGGTTTCATGACATACCGAGCCCAAAGCAGCCCATCTAAGGAAAAACATCCTTGAAACAACGCTCCAGGAAGCCCTCTCTGCTTTCCGAACCCTGCCAGCTCGAGACATAAACTGGTCAGGAGATTCAGACGCTCTTGGCCACGTACCCCACCTACGCTTTAGCCCTGACGCGCTGGCCCATCTTCCCAGTCTTCGCTCACTTCTCCGACCACCACGCCAAGTCGGCGGAGGTGAGCTTGCGGCAGCTTTGGGGTTGGTTGGGGTCGTTCGAAGCTCTGGAGGGCTTCTCAGACCACAATCGAGCAGATTAGAGAAAACCGGAAGCCCATTAAAAGAGCAAGGGCCCCCCCGTGTGGCTCAGGTGGTGCTCTGCGACCATGTTGACGGTGTGATTAATTGGCGGCAGTGTCGGGAGGATGGCAGCTGAGTTCAAGACATTTTTTTGTGCGTGGCGCCGCGGAACCAATGGTTCAGCTATTGAGATAACATGCGAAAGTAACCTTGCCACCTCCCTGAGCCTCAGGTCTGCAGTGGATAGACCTTGTGTACAAGGACGAGGAGTCACAGCTCCCAAGCCACGACGAGGACCTCATACACTGGCAGACGACGGTCGCCCAGTACCTCTACACGATCTTACGATGGAAGGAGAACCAAGTACAAGCCTCAGAAGAGTGCCCCTTTGGATTCTTCTTCCTGGCAGCTACGCAGCTGGTAGCCGCAGCCAGCAAGAGCACCCAGCACCTGCCACCCTTCGGGAAGATCATGGACCAGGTGGTTGGGGCATTGCCTTTCTCTAGCGTCAGCCGCTCACCCTGGCCGATTTGGCACGTTTTGGCCATCTTCTCCGATCAGAACAAGGGAAATTGGTACTGGGGTGGTGATCGGAAGTACCTGCGCGGATACAGCGACTGGAACCTAAGGAATGATGAGCTCGCCCCGCTGGTGTCTTCTGACAATGCCTTCTTGTCACCCAGCTGGAAAGAAGAAGCCTCAGAAATGGTGGATGCCTGGGTAGAGATGGACCATGCTCAGTATGTGGATGCTTTGCACGTCGAGTCCCGACGTCGGGAAGATGACGGGGGGCCTCTCAGGCCCATCGTCAGGAGCCTTATCGATGCGGCGCAGGCTGTAGCCGCTGCTTCGGAACTGAATGGGCTCAAGCGCAGGCTGGCATATGTAGTTCTTCTCTACGGTGGAAACTGGGCTTACCTCTTGAAGCGTCTGGTACGCCATCTGTCTAATTTGCGTGTCTTGTACCCCTTGATGGTGATCGCTATCGGCGAGGATGCGGCAGACACATGTCGAGAGCTCATGTCAGCTGACACAGATCACACACCGGACACCGATGTCACACCCCCAGGAACCCGGGTGATTTGCTGGATGCCTGACACGATGTCGCAGGTGCATCGCTTCACCTGCATCCACGGACTGCTGCATCTGGGTATCGATGTCCTTTATACGGACATGGACACGTTCTGGCTCCGGGACCCCACGAGGCGGATCCTTTCTTCGGCCGAAGGCTGGGATGCCCTCTTTGCGCGCCACGGCGATGCGGATTGCGTGAACATCGGGGTGTTTTATCTGCGAGCCTCTGGCAGGACGGCCGTGTGGATGTCCCAGTTCATGGCATGGTACCATGATCATCCCTTTGAAATTGACCAGCGGGGACTACACGTTTTCTTAGGGCTGCACGCCCAGAATATAAGGATCGCATACTTGCCGGAGGACTTGGTGGAGATCCGCGGTTCTGTCCTGGAGGATCGGAATGAAGTGGTCATTGGGGACATTGGTTGGGAGGGCACTCTTCCGAAGATGCTCATCTTTCACTGGTGCCACCGGCCGATCGAACTGAAAGAGCGCGAGCTCAATGCCGCTTATGATGCCAGCGAGCAGCTGGAACCTCACAACATGCCCGTGGCTTTGGCGCTCTCCGTGATGTCAGGCGCTGTCGCTCGAACTTCGTGGGCTTTGGCATTCAGACTACGAGTTATCTTGGATCAATATCAAGCCGAGATGGAAGAGGAGCGCAAGCCTTGCTGGTAGGAGCTGGCAATGCAGTCATGTAGATCGTGACCATCATCAGAGATCGAACGACTCCTGAAGCTCGGTCAGCTCACGTGTCCCCTTGAACTGTTGCAGAGGCCGCAGGACGCAAGCTGGGCGTAAGGTCAATGACAGGATGTTGAAGAATCACGGTTCCTGGCCTGGAGGTGAAGGAAGAGGCGGCTAGCGGCTAGCGAGCAGGCAATGTCAGTGGCAAATAGGCGACAAGGCGTCCAGGAGCAACGGAGCATGGGCAGGGTTTGTCAATCAACAACTCGGGCTACCCACATACCTCAAGACTCGCTTTACGGCTGTCCTCCGAGCAAATCATCATCCACACATGCTCCTGGATTAGCGTGGAGCAGGGCTTAGTGGATTGGGGCTCTGGCGAGATTTCGTGCTAGGAGAGTGTGCGCACATTTCTGCAGTGTCGGTGTGGCCAGCTAGGCCTAGATGTCAACCTCCCAAACTACTACACCCCACGACAAGCATCAGGTAAAGAAGCCTCGGGCCTTGAATATCTGATGCATACCCTAAGCACATGGGAAAGCTTGTGTTTCTTGGATGACTTGTCGGGGCCAGTGGCATTCTTGCGCAAAACGGGCGTGGAGTACAGGGAACTCGAGGGTTCTGGGATCAGGGTCAAGCGATGAACGGCGACTATTGTCTTGTTTTTTGGCTTTCCCTGCATTCGTGTAAGACTTCAAGGCTCAAGGTCTTGAGAGAAATCTTGCCACCAGATTTCTTGCAAATCCAGCCGTGCCCTCAACGAGCTCCACGCATTGCATGCTGCACTGGTGAGCAGGAGTGAGAAAAGCTGAGAGAGTAAGAGAGCAATGCTAGACCCGGCCGGGGGGGCGACCCTTCAAGACCGATCGCTGCTTTGGACCTTCAAAGAGGGAACTGCGCCATTAGAGCCCTTGTAGTGCAAAACGAAGGAGGAAAGGTGAGGCTGAATACCGCAAGCGCAGAGCAGCCAAGGTCCATTCATAGCTGGGCCCTTGTGCCACACATGCGGCCAGAGCCTCGGAGTTTGGAACCGAGCTATATCTGGCGCCCAGCGCCCCAAACTAGAAGCAGTTATTGTGGTGGGCTCTTCGCTTAGGTTCGGCCCTCTTCAAGCCTGTCATGAGAAGTACCAGAGTCACATGTCACGTACGGTCGCAAAAGCACTCCTGGAAAGCACCCATGGAAAGCTTAGATATGGCACCAGCCCTGCACCAGCCCGCTCGGTTCGCAACGACAAGGAATTCCTGCGAGCACTAAACCCGGGAGACATTCTACCCAACCTCCAGTCTGAGACAGTACTGTGCATCCGAAACCATGAAATCTCGCAGCATCTGACTCCAGGGGCTGGCACTGTAGTGCCCACGGCATCTTCCATGATCCCAGGGTCAACGACCTGCGCGAGAAAGTGTAGCAATGTAGCGTGGCGCCCGAATTCCCGAACTGGCTTAACACATGCGCGCAGGCCTCGGGCTCTTTTGCTGCTGCTTCCGAGTGCATTCGTGCCGTACCCAGTCCTGCCAGCAACGAGCTATCTCTTTATCTCCCTCGATCGCACTTGGGCACGACATCTTACGTATCTCGAGCGTCTCCTAGTTTAGGGCTGCTGTTGCCATGATTGAATGACATCTAAATTCTAAATAGGCAGAAGGGTAGTAGGCTCTAGTCGACACTCTCGCCGTCTACGCCTCACCAGCTGCCATAGTGGTGTCCTGCCTCCTTTGCAGAGTGGGCTGAGCGAGCCTGGACGGAAGTCTGCCCCTTCGACAACGTAGGATTCACCCGTGCAAGAAATTGAGCTGTAAAGCCGACGTGGGCTTTCCGGCCAAGAGTGCTGCTAATTCATCAACACAACGCACGGCAGTACACGTCCCTGGCAAGAAAGCGTGAACGAGTACCTTGTCACCTCATCAAAGACAGCACCCCCGAATCCCAAACCTGGAAGCCCCAACACGCAGCTTGTTGCAAGTCCAAAGCGCCTCCGCCATGCCACGAGGCCAGCGCCATCCACAGCGAGGTTTCCCACGATGGGCGCATAAGCCACACTCAGGCCGGAACCACGCGTTTTTGTCCTCGCCCGACTTAAGTGGGCAAGTGGGGTTGTTAGTTTAAGGGAGGGCAGCGTTCGGATGGCTTGTTTTGGGGCGGTTGTGCAGCTCCGGTGACTTGTTCCCAGACGCGTCGCCCACCTGTGCTGGTGTGAGATTCAAGAACATTCCAAGACTCTGCCATGGAAGCCAGGAGTCCCACCACAGTTCCGACAAAGATAGCCTGGTCGACTCCGACCACCAGGCAAGCGAGATGGGATCAACTGTAGAAGAGGCCGTGGCCTCGAGCAGCCTTCAGCCGCCCAAAACTCCTGGGAAAATCCCCGCCGAACATCGAAGCCTTAGGGCGGAGGGTTTCAGTCTTTCGGCAGTTTGGCGCAGCAGGGCTGCAATGGCAACGGGTGCAATCCCCTTGTAATGGTGCAGCCGCGACAAGGGCAAGGATCCCCCTCAAGGCTTAGCGCTCTTTAGGGCTCCCGGGTTTGCGGCTGTTTTAGTTCTTTTGTGTTGAGGGTTTGGTGGATTTATTTTTGTACTCCTTCACAATCACAGGCTCTCGATCGGGAATTCTCAGGTGGCATTCAGGTTTAGGCTGGCACTCTGATCTGGCGCCCTGATATTCGTCCACCTCTCCCGGCCCGTATTGCATCGTATTGCACTTTTCCAAGTTGCGCTTTGGGTTTATAGTGGCACCAAAGCGCAGTCAGAGCAGTGCCTGCACTAGAGGTAGAAGCCCAAGACAGGGGCCCTTGAGAGCACGTCCGTGCTATCGCGACATCCGGCCAGGAGGGCCAGTTCCCGTCCTATGGCAGCAGCTTCGGCAGCAGCGGCTACGGCAGCAGTCTCTTTGCTGACCAAAAAAACCATGCAAGCTCGCAACCTCATGGATAAGATGTGCGAAAGGACCTACTGTAGGAATTCTGGTTTGAGATTTCCTGACCCGCACAAGGCTTTGGCAACAGCGGCATGGGTGGCGGAATGGGAGGTGGCCCCTATGGCGGAAGTTGCTTGCCTTCACTCTGAGCCTGACGAGGAAACAGCTGCCTTTGAATCACAGAGTCCGTCAAAGAAACGCTTCATGCCCCCTCTGCCTTGAGGCTTCAACTCCTATGGCTCGCCACAGGGTTCGCCACAGGGCTACGGCCAACCCATGGTGCGATCCGGTGCCCCAATGACGCTGGGCTTGTGCTTGGAGAGGCTTCAAGTGATTGGTTGGCCGGTTGGCTCTCGTCACTAGAGGTTCTCCTATTGACACTTAGAGGAAACGGAGGTTCTTACATTCAAATTCAGAGAAGACGATAGGGGAACTAGAATGAAATGCAAAGGAAGTAGAGGTCCCCACTAATATGACATGGAAATATGCAGAAACCAGAGCTCTCCTTTCAAATCCGGAAACGACCGATTTGCTGCTCTATGAACATGTCGATGCCTGCGAAGCCCAAGGTAATAGCCATTCCCCTGCCCCCTTCCTTCCCCCCCCCCCCCACCCACCCAAAAAAAAGAAAAGGAGCAAAAGATACAAGAAAGTAATCTCCACCCCAATAACTAACTGGCGCACAGCGAGAAGGATGGGCCACACTGGACAATCGGGCTATGCCCCCACGGAGACGGAGATGCACATGCGCCTTGGCAAACTATGGTGCCCCTCAAACGGAATAAATCTGGGGATGGGCCCCACCTTCCTTGCAAAGTGCGGGCGCCACCCCTAAAGCTCGAGAGAGCTATGAGCTCGGCCGGCGAAATCGCTAAATTTGGCCTGCAGTCCGCGCACAGGCCGCTGAGTGCCAATGTGGAGCTCCAGTCCGACGATGGTGTGCTATACTCGTCCAGAAGACGTGCAGAGAAGAAACCTGAGGCGTAGTGCATGAAGCACACGGGTGTCGAGGTTTAAGTTCAAGTAATTCAGGTAGATTCTCTCATCAGTTCTTTTGAGGAAGCAACGGGACCCCAAACCTTGACCCTCAGCCCTGGAATCTGAACGTTTTTTCCGTACACATGCCTGGACCCTGGAGGGAACTTGCGATGGGCTAGCAGATCCTGTTGACTCAAAGCCTCGGTGTTCGATGTTGGGCGTCTCGATCTGGGAGTTGGAGCGGTTCCCAACGTAACCGGCAGCTTGTGCAAGTCATCCTGCCGGCAGGACTACAACTACGATGACAACACCGTGCTGGGCATGGCAAATTACGTCTACAAGGGCGGTTCCAGCACCACTGTCTGCAGCTTCTGGGCACAAGACTGGACACACAGTCTGACTGTCGGTAACGAGCCAAAATCCCGGAAATCCTCTAAGGCCAACCCTGAAACTGCAAGCCCTGAACCAAAAAACCGTAAACGATCCGAAGCTTCGCGGCAAGCTTTCACCGGTGCTTGGTCCCCTGACGCAGAGCCGAGGTTGGCTCCTGTCAGTTCCGGCCTCAGATGTTTTTCGTACTGGGCCCTGTCCAGCTCAGCCTGACTCCAGCATATGCTTTCTTTTGCACAGTGCTTTTGCACAGTTTTTTTTTTTTTTTTGGGGGGGGGGGGGGAGGGGGGGGGCGGTGTTGCAAAGCCGCATACCCTAGTCAAGTTGATTCGAAACCCTTCCCAGCCGCTGGCGAAGTGTCATGGTAACTCATCTAGATGCAGGCCCTTGTGGTTGCAAGAGGGCTCGCACCGCTCGCACCCTGACGAAGCTGCAGGAGGCCTGCTGTTTAGAAGTGGATGGCTGAGGGTTTTTTTGCGTTGCCAGGCTTCATGTTGCTCAAGTTAGGGAGAAGAGGCGACAAGATTGCTGCACAGGGGCATTGCTGTGTGCCAAATGCCGTATGCCTATGCCAATGCTGCACCGAGTGCATCAGCAAAGACAAGGATTTCGTTTGCGTTGCCAGGAATCCCCGCCATGTGAGTTTCAGCGTATCACATCATTCCGAAGCGACATACGCGGTGAGCTGCGATAGCCAAAAAAGCCAGGCTGAAAAACTTGTGTTTGTTTGGGGCTTTGAGGCTTGAAGGCCTTGAGGGCACAGGGGTTAACGGCCTCCACAATAGCCTGACAGCCCACAGCTTCAAGAGGCTGTGTGGAACTTAGAGGGCGTGCGGGCTGCCAGCCCGCACCGGCTCAAGAGTGCAAGTTGGCAGCCCGGCCGTCCACACAGGTTTTCAAAAGCTTTCACTGGGGCCAACGGGCGGAGGGCGTGCGGGCTGCCAGCCCGCACCGGCTTACAGTGCAAGTTGGCAGCCCGGCCGCCCGCACAGGTTTTCAAAAGCTTTCACTGGGGCCAACGGGCTGGCGGTCAACGGCTTTTTAAGAGGCTTGGAGGGCGTGCGGGCTGCCAGCCCGCACCGGCTTACAGTGCAAGTTGGCAGCCCGGCCGCCCGCACAGGTTTTCAAAAGCTTTCACTGGGGCCAACGGGCTGGCGGTCAACGGCTTTTTAAGAGGCTTGGAGGGCGTGTGGGCTGCCAGCCCGCACCGGCTTACAGTGCAAGTTGGCACCGCCCGCACAGGTTTTCAAAAGCTTTCACTGGGGCCAACGGGCTGGCGGCCAACGGTTTTTTTTTTAAGAGGCTTGGAGGGTGTGCGGGCTGCCAGCCCGCACCGGCTTACAGTGCAAGTTGGCAGCCCGGCCGCCCGCACAGGTTTTCAAAAGCTTTCACTGGGGCCAACGGGCTGGCGGCCAACGGCTTTTTAAGAGGCTTGGAGGGCGTGCGGGCTGCCAGCCCGCACCGGCTTACAGTGCAAGTTGGCAGCCCGGCCGCCCGCACAGGTTTTCAAAAGCTTTCACTGGGGCCAACGGGCTGGCGGTCAACGGCTTTTTAAGAGGCTTGGAGGGCGTGCGGGCTGCCAGCCCGCACCGGCTTACAGTGCAAGTTGGCAGCCAGGCCGCCCGCACAGGTTTTAAAAAGCTTTCACTGGGGCCAACGGGCTGGCGGCCAACGGCTTTTTAAGAGGCTTGGAGGGCGTGCGGGCTGCCAGCCCGCACCGGCTTACAGTGCAAGTTGGCCGCCCGGCCGCCCGCACAGGTTTTCAAAAGCTTTCACTGGGGCCAACGGGCTGGCGGCCAACGGCTTTTTCAGAGGCTTGGAGGGCGTGCGGGCTGCCAGCCCGCACCGGCTTACAGTGCAAGTTGGCAGCCCGGCCGCCCGCACAGGTTTTCAAAAGCTTTCACTGGGGCCAACGGGCTGGCGGCCAACGGCTTTTTCAGAGGCTTGGAGGGCGTGCGGGCTACCAGCCCGCACCGGCTTACAATGCAAGTTGGCCGCCCGGCCGCCCGCACAGGTTTTCAAAAGCTTTCACTGGGGCCAACGGGCTGGCGGCCAACGGCTTTTTCAGAGGCTTGGAGGGCGTGCGGGCTGCCAGCCCGCACCGGCTTACAGTGCAAGTTGGCAGCCCGGCCGCCCGCCCAGGTTTTCAAAAGCTTTCACTGGGGCCAACGGGCTGGCGGCCAACGGCTTGTTAAGAGGCTTGGAGGGCGTGCGGGCTGCCAGCCCGCACCGGCTTACAGTGCAAGTTGGCCGCCCGGCCGCCCGCACAGGTTTTCAAAAGCTTTCACTGGGGCCAACGGGCTGGCGGCCAACGGCTTGTTAAGAGGCTTGGACAGTGCAAGTTGGCCGCCCGGCCGCCCGCACAGGTTTTCAAAAGCTTCACTGGGGAAAAGGGGCTGGCTGCCAACGGCTTTTTAAGAGGCTTGGAGGGCGTGCGGGCTGCCAGCCCGCACTGGCTTACAGTGCAAGTTGGCAGCCCGGCAGCCCACACAGGCAGGTTTTCAAAAACTTTCCTCGGGGCCAGCGCGCTGACCCACTAGCATGGGCTGGCGGCCGACGGTGGCAGCTTCCAGTTCTTTGAAACCTTTTGTTGCTTGGGGCTTGAAGGGCGTGAGGCCCGCCATTCTTCACCAGCTTAAGAGCGCCAACAGCTGAACTTTAAACTTCTTGGGTTTCCTTATTTAGTAGAATAAAAAAAGTTTAACATTTTTTCCCGTGGTTATTGGAGAAGTAAGGAGCGCAGGCTTTTAAGAGCTTTGGTTGCATACAGGCCGTTTTAAGCAGCTGCTAGGAGGTGCGGGCTGCCCGATGGCACTGACTTCCTGGAGAACCAAAGTTTCCAGAAATAAATAGGAACGTCCGAGCAAGCGACGTCCTTAAGCACACCCCACACCTTTTTCAAAATTCCATATTTCTGATGATTGGGTAGCTCCCATTTGGGATATGAGACTTCAGACCTCAGAGGCATGATCTAGTGCCCGCAGCAAGCAACGAACTCAACACCGTGTTCAAGAGCTTTCATTGGGGGCTTGGGGAGTGCCCACCAGAAGATGCGTGTGTGAGCTGGCATGTGCTGTCTTAAGTTGGACCAAACTCCAGGCACTGCTTCAGCCAACAGGCTCCGAGACTCTTCAGTTTCATGCCATGGTCTGAGCAACATCTCCCGGGTGCCTCGGTCCTGGTGGCCCTCCTGAGCCTTCCGCTGGCGCTCTGGTGGCTCTTCGGGACCCAGTGGTGGGGAGCGCCCAAGACGCAAGAGCCCCGAGGGCGCATGGCCTTGCCAGAGGGCAAGGTGCGCTTCAGGCCTGGCCAGGACCGGTTTCGGTTTATAATTGGAGTTTAACATGTGGGTTGGGGTTTAGGGGTTGAGCTCGGGATTTTGGGACACGCCCCGCGGATTGTTGAGGGCCGGATGTTGTCATTATGTCATTAGCTGTCAACACGGGCTGAACAATATCTGGTGCAATTTGAACCAAGGGATCACAAAAGGCTTTGCGTGGTGCAAGTGTGGAAACCCTGCAACACCGGAACTGCCCCTTGCAAGCAGAGCTCGAAACCGGAAGGAGTGGAAAGAAGTGCTTCCTGAGCATCTTCTACCTCCGGGCTTGGACGTCCGCTTTGACTTGGATGGCGGCCGGAACTTTGCGAGGTGCTGGCTTTCGGGCCGGGGTTACATTCATTCCGACCCGACCACGCACGTTGAGAACATATTGGGGCCATTTGTGGAGGTCTTAAGGCTGGCGCACTCAGACAAGCCTGTGCAACAGGAGCTAAATAAATAGGAACACTGCAAATATGTTTGGGATTGTTGGGGCTTGTGCGCAGGCTCTAGAGGATTGCAGGATTAGGGCTTCGGGCTCTACGGTACTAGGTGTTATTCAGAAGGCCTACGGGCTCTTGTCGCCCGTTACGAGAGGGTTCTGAACCTTGTCTGCCTTGACGAAGTGCCAACACAACATCGGTGCCACTTCGCGTGTTATCGAATTCCCACCATCCTGCTCCGGGTTGAGGTTGTGCGTGCAAATGAGGGGCGCGGGGATTTCGTCAAGGCTGTCGGAAGAGAACGGACGCAGGAATAGTTTGCAAGAAGCTAATGGTCTCATCATAAAGGCTGGTGTAAGCCTCGGGTATTGTGGCGAGTGGAAGCTCGAGTCAGCATCACCCACCGAATGCACCATAGGCTCTAGACTCCAGATGACTCCAGCTATCTCCAGTTCCAAAAGCTCAGACCGAAAGGCTCCAGCCTGGGCAAGTTGATCGACCGCCCATCGACTCAGCAGACGAGGTGAGTGTGGAGCACCTGGGTCAGCAAACGGGGACGGTGGGTGCTCGGGGCTGATATACATCTATATACGTTTCAGTCGGTCGTGTCGGAGTTAATGTTAGTGTTTTTGTTGCTGGGGTTGCTAACTAAGCCCGCACCGTGTGCTGCAGAAGACGAAGCACACACAAGCAGCGCATCACGTACCCAGGGTGTTGGGCAGGTTCGTGAGGAGGTGGTGGGGACAGCACCCTTGCGGTTGACCGCAGACTACATGTCCAGTCCTGACAAGTACTTTGTAGTATGTTTCAAAAAGATCAGGAAGTCTGTTCGAGCAGGTATCTTCTCTACGCTCGGCAGTGAACCTTCAGAGAGCTTGACCCAGGAAGCTGCTCAGCGACGCAGCGACCTGGGGTCAGCAGGAGCGGGTGCAGAAGGCTGGCACGTGCCCCTTTGTGGGAGGGGCTGGTGTTCAGGCGTGAGGTTTTGGACCGGGAGTTCGGGACACCAGTTGAGTGTTTCAATAATCCATCGTCAGCAGCTGGGCACCCTTCGAACCCAATAACTTCAAGAAGATTCAAGAAGTCGAAGCCCCAAGTCCTCTTTGCGGGCAAAGTGACCAAAGGCATGATGGGGAGATGCAACAACAAGCAGGTGATTTTCTAAACGCGCTGGCTCGATGCTGGAACATCTTCCCTGTTCAGCCCGGAGGTTCTCCAGAGCTGCTACTACCGGCCTGCGCTGCTCGCTTCGGGAGTGAATGCCTGCCAGATGTCAGAAATGGTGTGCAGGTATTCGCATTTGCGGTATCTGTCTGGCTCCATGACAAGCTCAAGTAGGTTCTTGGATGTTTTCTCCTGGGAACACGGCGCAGTTGTGCTGCAAGATTAGGCGGGCTCGGGATGTGCTACAAAATGACCCAGCAAAACACAGGAGAGCCCTGAGTTCTTTTCTACACACAGGCTAGAACCCGGAGGTTTCCCGACAGGGGGTGCTTCTTGCCTCTACACTTCCACTTCCGCCTTGATTCTCTTCATTCCGCGGCAGGTTGGAGATCCTGAACCGGCCCTTGGCCGAAGCTGCTGGACGTGGACACATCGACGTGTGCAAGGCCACGGGCCCTCCAATCAAGTTTCGAAAGCAGCAGACTGAGGGGCCCCAGGACTAGGTGGGGATGTTCGAGGTGGTACAGGTGCTCTCGGCACACGCAAGACGTGGCCGTAAATTTTGTTGCGAGTTGCGAATTGCATCTTGTATTTTCAGCGTATTCCTTTTGCGGCCTTTTCGACTTCCGAATACTCCACCTATTCCATCCTCCGTCGTGCTGTATGCGCTTCTTTCCTATAGGACAATCGAACCAATAAGCGCCAGTTGGCAATTGCGTTTTACCAAAATTGCAGCCTCCATCGGCTTCCAATTGGAAAGAAACTCAAGACGCGCCGGTAGCGAATTGCATGTTTCCACAAGTTGCGGCCTTTCCCAGTAAGTAGTGGCAAGTTGTCGCAACACCAAAGGTCTCGTACCAAGGCGACACTTGGCATGGTGAATGAAGGCCGAAATAGCAGATTTCCGAGAAATTCCGCTGAGATCCCACAAGGAGCATGGGCTGACAGGGTGGTCAGCACCGGCAGTGCGAAGCCTCCGAAGAGTCTGACTCACATCCACTTGCTCGCGATGCTATGTCAGGATCGACGAACTGCTCAAAAAATGTCGGAAATGATTCTTCAAAGCTTCAAGTCCGCCCCAGAAGCGCAAAAGTCCTCCCACACCTCTCCATGCGCCTGCCTTGAGGCGTTGCTCGCGGCTCGGGGGGACCCGCTTAGCCGGGGTGCGAAGGGCGTCACACCCCTGCACCGACGCGCGACCGGCAAAGGGACAGGAGGGAGGGAATTTGGGGTTTGGGAATTGCAAGGGGATCTTGGGCCTTGAGTGCCAGGCTTCAGCAGGTTTGAGCCTCCGATCGGTGTCCGGTACTTGCTGCGCTGGCATCCGTACTCTTGTTGTTGTTGTTGTTGTTGTTTTTTTTTTTTTTTTTGCACTTCTGCCGTCAGGACAACCGTATAGAATGTTGGAGCTGGGCTCTCTCGTGAAGGCCGCTAGCTAACGATGCTGAGGTTTGTGGTCGGCCTCGTATTTGTGGTCTGCACTTGCGTGACTGAACTCCAAATTTGAGTGGCAAGAATGCACGCCACAGCGCTCCCCAAATGCCAAGGAACTACCATGGAAGGCCATGAGGAACTGGCAACACTGCTGCTTCAGCGGTGCATTGACGCTCTGTTCGCACATTCGGCCTTGCGCAGGGCAGAACTTTGCAGGCGTTGGAGGTCGAAGTTGGAAGCAGGATAAGCATGGAACCTTAAATGATAAGCCAACTTCGACCAACATCGAACCTGTGATGGTTTTAAAGTTGACCCGCAAGGTTTTGGTATGTGCTTCGGCAACATGTGATCCAATGCGAGCATCGGGCCTCCCTGCTTGCCTGGGCAGTTGGAAATCCAAAATTCTCATCTGCGCACCAACAGCGCCAAGCTTTCAACCCTGCGCTGCGCAGCCGCCCTTCTTTATGCTGCAGATCCACATCCTTGGCTGCCTATCTCGCAGTCACCAGTCAAGACCTCCTGGTCCAATGCTGCAGTCTTCAACTCTGGGCCCCCCCCCCCTCAGAAGACAAGAAAACATGGCATCCCAAGAAGCTCAGGAGACAGGAGTCATGGATGCCTTGGCGAGGGCCGATGACTTGGGCAGAACCTGTCCAGGGCTCAGCCGCACCATTGGTGGATTCCCCGGTAGCAGAGTTGCAGAGACAAGCCGGGCGACTTCCTGTAGCGTCGTGGGACGGGGGGGGGGGGGGGGGGGCGGCAACCTCCCACTCCGCACTCGGCCGGAGGTCTCGACTGCGCTGAGGAGCAGGCATCTCCGAGTTTTCCAAGACATTGTGTAGCAGGGTACTGGGCTGCATGGGTCGATCATAGGTTTTTGTTGGGTTGGGGATTGCATGCATCCGGTGTGGGAAGCAGGCGACCTGCTCGTGGTTGCGTGGCTTTGTTGTGCTATGCCGACTCAAACTCTCCACCAGAGCAGCTAGAGCAGCACTTTTTTGCAAGCCATCTCCTTCCTGAGGACTTGCATGCCATGGCGCGCCGGTTGAAGGCGCCCAATGCATTTTGCAGTTTGCTGTCGCCAGACTTTGTTTTCTTGCAAGTGTGGGAGTTGCATTTGTCCTGGTGGGCATCGTGTGTCAGATGTCTTGCCTACACAAACGGCCTCAAACGCACTCGACAGGTGCCAACACCCTCAAATAATAAACCATGTCCTGCAAAACTCTCCTGAGACAGGCTTCGGAAGCGACGAATCTGGTCCGGTGCCCCCGCTTCCTGTGGCGGATCTGTGGGGACCCACTTGCATCCGCAGCATCGCGCATTCAGAGAGCCGAAGCCTTGAATTGCGGCAGAAGATGCCGCAGCACAACTAGCAATATTCAAAATATCCATCATAAGATTCACAATACTATGAATAGTAATATTATTCTTATTAATGTGCGGTCACGCAGCCGCTGCACAGCATATAGGGCAGCCCAGAACCAAGGTTAACACTTGCGTGACCCGACTGGATCGACAGGTACGCGCCTGAGCTTCAAGCGCAAAGCATCGACGTGGACTGACGCGGCGCCTCTTGCCGGTTGCGGAGAGTTGCTCGAACTCATCTCAACGCTGTCCTGGCGTAGGACAGCAAGGTCAGTTCCGGCATCTGGTCATTTCGGGAAACCTCACTTTTCGGCTTCTTTCCCGGGCTTTTGTGAGCGCTGGCAATTGAACCTGCCAGTCTCTGTGCTCATACCTGGAGTTCGTAGGAGACGAGGGGCACCGGGGTCATGGGAAGCGTATGCAGCAGGAAGCTGAGTCACAGCGGCGCGCGCTGGAGAAAAGATGTGGGGTCTGTGCCTCTCAAATTTCGCTGTGCAAGGTGCATTTTCTTTTTCTTGTATTTCTTTTATAGCTTGCAGCCTCAAACTGTGGGGAGGGGGGGGGGAATGTGCGGTCCATCCGCCATAGCGGACAAACTTGCAGCGCATTGGAGGAGGAGTGGGTGGATTGGGTGGTGGGCACCTGAGAATGCCCCAACTCCTCCCGCCCAAGTCCTCAGTAATTTGCCCTCCGGTGGAAGTAGCGGATCCATTTAATTTTAACGCTACGCGACCCGCCTCGGCCCGGCCCAGCGCATCCGCGTGAGCATGGTGATTCCGCAGCGCCCAAGTCGCTGGACCCCAAGCAATAAGGGTTGGGTTGAGGGTTGAGGGTTGAGGGTTCCGGGTTTATGGTTTATGGTTTGGGGTTTGGGGTTGAGGGTTAGTTTAGGGCTCAAGGTTCACGCTTTGGGGTTGAGGGTTTTTTTGGGTTTAGGGTTCGGCTTGGAGTGATCGTAGGGTTGAGCCAGGCCCCTTAAGGTTTAAGGCGACTCTTCGGCAGGGTGGGGAGGTGGGGTGGGGGGAGGGGAGGGGGGGGTAGGGGGGAGGGGGGTGGGGCCCGAGTGGGGTGGGAGGGTGGGGGGGGGTGGGGGGGGGGGGCGGGGCGGGGTGACAACGGCGGGTTCTGCTGAAAGGGCTGACCGGATGGGTGAAAAAAACGGGGGGGGGGGGGCAAGGGGGTGGGGGGGGTAGGGGGGGGGGGGGGTAGGGGGGGGGGAGGGGGGGGGGGGGGGGGTCGGGTAGGGGGGGGGGGTAGGGGGGGGTGGTGAGTGGGGAAGTGGGGAAGCGAAAAACGGGGGGCGCCCTGCTGGATGGGCTGCAACTGCCTCTGGTCCTGGCGAGACATCCGCTTGCGGACCCTCCTCTCCTAGGGGGGGTACCCATTTGAAGCAAAAAAAGGGGGCCGAAAAGTGGCTTTGGGCTTGGGGGGAGGATTTGGAGGGGGGTGCCTGTTCTGACAACCTATACACCTTCGGCCCGAGGCCTCGGCGGATTTCACTTGCAGCCCTTTGTTAACATTCTACGGCAGGACTTCGTACCAACTCGCTTGGCCAAGAATAAGGGATGCACATTATTTGCCACCGTCTGTCCTTTTGCTGGTCTGAGTTCTCGGGCAATTGTTGGCGCAACCAGTCTGGTGTTGCCACGCTCAGGGTTGACACGTTCTGCATCTGTCAACGAGCCAGAGCACCAAGGCAAACAATGCCCATGCCCATCTCCACCTGACTTGAGGCCTAAACCCTAAACCCTCAACCCTCAGCCTTGAATCCTGAACGAACCCTGAACCCTAAGCCAAAGCTTTGGCACGAAGATTGGCCCCCATGGCATCCGATGCCTTGCATCCCTGGGCAGCATGGCTGGGCACTCAGGCGACCATCTTGCGCTTGTGGTCCGGCACTCATTGTAATGAGCTTTGACTCGACTGTAGTAGATACATACATGCACACACACACACATATATATATATGTATCAATATATATCATATATATATATATGTTTTTCTATATATATATATATATATATATATATATATATATATATATATATATAATACAAATCGGTATATGTATAGTCTCCCATGCGCGCAAAGTCTGTTTGCGCTTCGACGCTACAAGTGCGAACGCCCGAAATCCTCAACCAAGAGCTGGCTTCAAGATACTTGAGCAAGTTGGAATGCATGCAATCTTGCAAGAGTGGGGGTGGGAGGGGGTCAAACCTCGAGCCTTTCAACCCTCAGCCTGGCGTCGCCTGGATCCACCTACAGTTTCGCAGTCTGGTGCAAGGGTAAGGTCATCCCAACATGTGCCATCACGACTATCGGCTAGTCACTTTGCTGTGCTGAACTGACTGCACAGTGATCGTCTTCAACTGGCAGCAAGCATGCGGCTTGACACGGCTTCCAAGCCTGAACCCGAAGCCCAAAACCCTGCCCCATAACTTTGTTTCATCGTTGTCTCCTAACATGACTTTCATGGCCTCCCAAGCGATCATCACTGCGTGGGTCGTCGCGTTTGTGACCGCCGCCGACGTGAAGCTGGGCATCGGATGGGCGCCAAGTCAAGCGGAAGCGATCGGGCCCGTATTGGACTGGGCTAACGTCACTCACGAGGACACTGTCTACGAGCTCGGGTGTGGCGATGGACGCGTGGCAATCCAAGCAGCTCGCCGAGGCGCCCGTGTCGTGTGCATCGATGGCGATCGGCAGCAGCTCCGGCAAGCGCGCGAGGCGGCCCGCCTCGCTGGCGTAGAGTCGGCGATTGAAATGAGATTGGCAGACGCGATGGACACGGGGCTGTCACAAGCGACCGTGGCATACATCTTTCTGCTGCCCACATTGCTGGTTCGCCTGCTCCCAGCTATTGAGCAGATGCCGCCCGGTGCTCGAGTCATCGTGGTCGAGTCGGAAATCTATGGCTGGCCATGTGGCGAGCGCATGCGATGGCCACCCGGTGCTCACTTTGGTCTTTTCACCAAATGGACCTTGCCGGTCGCCAGGCTGGAGCCTCTTGCTGACTCTGGCCTTCCGACGTTGGACGACGAGACGGCAATCATCGAGCATCTGCTGGCGTGCACGGCCGAAGGAGAGTCTCGTCGCAGAGGCGCACGCTCGTCGGGCACAGCAATGCCAGAAGTTGAGCTTTGACTCTGCACCTGAGAAGCCTCACCAGAGGAGATGTTGCATTTCTGCAGTCCGACTTGGACCTTGGACCTGCTGCTCATCATAGCGTCAGTGGCGTCACAACAGCGCCGTCGATCCTTGACCGCGAGCTGTCGCTGCAGCAGGTGGTGTCGCCCGATACACCAATATTTCATGTGGCATCGGATGATATTGACCTCGAAGGTCTCGCATCCAACTTCTCACCAACCGGCGCATCCTGTTGCTCGCATCAGTGCAAATCACGACGCGGCACCCCGCGCCACCCCACAGCCCATGCGGCACCACACGGCGCAACGCAGTGCAGCGCAGCGCAGCCGGCCCATCCGTACAGAGCTCCTCAGTCAAGTGATCCAAAGCTTGTTAGCGTGGTTCCAGCAGAGGAGGACATGCATGTCGTGCTATCACAACCGTCTAAGAGCGGAAACAAGCCGTCGAAGAGCGGAAGCAAGCTGCGTGCACACTGGAAAAAGCAGCCGCTGCTAACTGAAGACGTGCATTGCAATCCATGGTGTTTCAGAAGCCCACCACACGCACACCATACCGTAGAGCTAGCTGGCTGGCGCAACAAGGCCGAGCAGGTTCTGGCACAGCTTTGCCGCGCGCCCAGGATTCAGGAATTCTGGGCTCCAGGTCCGGCCGGGGGATCGTTGAGAGTCGGGGTTGCAGAATTTCGGGCTTAGGGTGTGGGGCTGCCGCTGCCTTAGAGGGAGTTTGTATTGGTACAATATGTTGCGAGCATTCGTGTGTTAAGAAAGCACATGCATGTTGATGTTCATGGCAAAGCTACACAATGTTAGGTGAAGGCCCATGGACACGTAAACGTGTAATTCCCCCAATCGGCTTCTCCGCAGCTGCTGCTCTTCAAGACCGTTACTGTATCCTCTCACTGGACTGAGATTGATCAACTGCTTGCGTGCTGAAATCAAAGCGCCAAGAAAGGACTTAAAGCGAGCGTTGAAAGAACCAAACCTCGGGCGGCAACTCCTTTCGGGCTCTGAGGTTCGGGAAGTCTCGGTTTGAGGTATGTTGAGGTTCAAGGCTCTAGTGCTAGAGGCGCGACGAGCCAACGCAGCCGTCAGCTGGAGCTTGGCTGCGCGGAATGTGAGAAGGCGTGATGTTGCGGATGTCAGTTGCGTCCTTGTTCAATTTGGCTCTGGGACACATGCTTCTCGGAGTAGTTAATCAGGGGCTTAACTTTGCGCCTGGCACCTTGGACCTAGACTATGGTACAGTAGATGAATCGACCGGCAAAAGTCGTGCAAGCTTCCTATCTGCCAAACCGTTGGCGCCTAAATTCCAATGTGCCAGTGCCTCGATCCTGATGAGCTGCTCAGGGTTTTGCTTCTTGCAAGCATGCAAGATGGTCAGACCGAGAAACCTCATGTATGACGATACACGAATGCTTCCCTGAAAGTTGACAAGACCGGAGGAACACTTTGCCTCCAAGCTGCAGCAGTTCGCCGTGCAGCGCCGGGTACGGCGCTTGGTGCGTTAGGAAACAAACAGGCATCGAGGGAATGTTCACGTTGTTTCATGTCGTAGCTCGCCTGCCGTGGGCTTGCAGTGAGAGAAAGCAGTGACAATCTCAGTCTCTTTCTTTCAGCGTTGCTACCGTGTCCTCCAGCCATCATTAGGAGGAAGCTTGCGGCTCCAGATCAAAGTTCGCGCCAGCTCGAGATTTGGGTCTACTGTAGTGTTTCTGTTGTCTTCTTGTCCACGCTGTCTTCAAAAGCTTGCCGAAAACCGAGGTTTTGCACCTCTGCGCCCAGTTCGCTGAGGTGGAACAGCTGCGCCATTCACTTCTCGCGGAGCTGCCCTGGCCTCAGAGCATTCAAGAAATGCCACGTGAGGTGGACCCTAGCAAGCTGAAAGTTTCCACTTGCTTGCTTTGTGCAAGCACGAAAGACGAGATCTAAGAAGGCCCAGAATGTGAGGCATAACAGTCCGCAGCTCTGTAGACGCCTCTACGTTCCGTAAGTCAGAAGGTGGTGCTAAAGCCGCCCAATAAACACCCGAGAGCACAAGCCCAAAGCCCTA